AATCCAGCATATAAGGAAGATATGCAAATAAATCAGGTAACAACCAAGGAAATTGAAAGTAGAGATGAAATGCAGTAATCAAATGTCAATATGTTGCAGCGCGCAACTCGATCCAAGTAGAATTCACATCACGGCTCTCATTCCCACATCAAAATCTCAGTAACCGAACCGAACCAATAACTAACTCTCCCATAGCTCACATCAACCAGAAACATGTCGGTTTTTCACAATCTGCGTGTATAGAGAAACATGAAAGGTGACCCTAGGGGGATGGATCTATATCATCACGCAGCATAGACATTTCATGTGTTATCATCCCTATATGGTCACAAGCTCAATATCATAATCCTCCCGGCATGGTCACAAGCTTAATATCATAGATCCGTCATTCGTTGTCATATGCTATATCACAATCCGCATGCCATGGTCACAGGCATAACTACACAATCCGCCCGGTGTGGTCAGAAGCATCCAGTCCAAATCGTGTCACACAGAAGCAAATATACAAAAATACATGTATATGATCAATGAATATCAGAATTTATACTCTGGACTGGTATAAATGGCATGCTAAGGTGTATACATGTGCAAAGTATGCTATCATAACTCAAATCGCTAATTTCATTTAAGGGATTAGCCTCTATGTGACCTCAAACATGGATTAAATTGTTCACAACATGGTTACAAATATGAGAAACATCACAGCATAAAGCTTAACAATCAATTCGAGGCATGTCATTGCTTAAGCACTACCCGAGCATGAACTAATATGTCGGTGCACGCACATGGGCTCAACCCCACACATATGCTCACCTTTAGCATGTAGCTATCATAGAATAACTTAGGAAACTAGTGCCTCAACCAAGTTCAGGTAAGATACTTACCTCAAGCAAGCTAAATCAAATATTGAGCAAGCCAAACAATACTCTAGAAACGCCATCTCGCACAAATCGACCTCCGAACAGATCAAAACTAGCCAAAAGTAACCCAAAATCATCATATAATGCTAACAAAAATAAACTCAAATGATAAAGGTCGAATCTTTAATCAAATACTCAAAGTCAACCAAAAAGTCAAACCTGGGACCGCACCCAATAACCCAACAAAACTCACAAATTCTTACAACTCATTCGAATATGAGTCCAATCATACTAATTTCACTCAAATCCGACTCTGAGTCGATGTTCAAACCTAATTTCTCTTTTAGAATCATCAATGAAATACAAAAATCGAAGATAGAATCATGTAAAATAATCAAATCCAAATCAAAAATACTTACCCCAATCAATGTGGTAAAAATCTCCTCCAAAGTCCCCCAATCTGAACTCTATATCTCAAAATATCATAAAATAACCAAAACCTTCAAAATAGAGTACTGTATAATCACTACTTCAGGGATACCCATTGCGATCGCGAAAAGAGCATCGCGATCGCGAAGCACAAAGGTCACAACTCAAAAATTACTCTACACATTCGCGTCATATGCCTGGAGAACGTGATGTATTGATTCGCCAACACTATGCGAATGCGTCACTGATCCTCGCAAACATGAAGATATCACCTCCAGCTCCCAGCTCTTTATCACGAACGTGTCTCTGTTGTCGCGAACGTGATGCCCAAGCACACAAAACTAGGTGAATGCATCGTTCTAGTCATGAACCTGAAAGGGAGAGACACCCAGCTCAACTTACACTATGTGATCACTGTCTTTCCCTCACTATCGTGAAGGATATCAGCAACAACAAAAAACCAGCAACAAAACATGAAGGAAAATGGTCTGAAACCACTCTGAAACTCACCCGAGCCCCTAGGGACCCGTCTGAATATGCCATCAAGTCCCAAAATATAGCACGGAGCTACTCGATGCCTCAAATTATACATAACAACATTAAAACCACGAACTGCACCGCAAATCAAACTTAATAAACTTTTAACTTCCAAAACTCGTGTCGAACCATATAAAATCAACTTGGAACGACCTTAAATTTTTCACACAAGTTTCAAATGACATAACAAACCTATTCCAACTCCCGAAACAACAATCTAAACTCGATATCATCAAAGCCAACTCCTGATCAAACTTATGAACTTTTCGAACCTTCAAATTGCCAAATTTCACCAATTAGCACCAAAACCTTCTAGAAAAATCCAAATGCAAATCCGAACATACGCCCAAGTTTAAAATTACCATCCGGACCTTACGGAACCATCAAAACTCTGATCTAAGGTCAAATACACAAAAGTCAAACTCGATGAACTCTTCTAACTTAAAGTCTACTATTTGAGAATTATTCTTTCAAATAAATTCTGAACTATTCGAAAACCAAAACCGATGATACACGCAAATTATAATTCACCATATAAAATTACTCATGACCTCAAACCATTTGGAGGGGTCCGAGGAGGCTCGGGTACGTCTTAGAATATTTGGAGAAAATTGCATAATATTGAAAAGAGAGTTGTTGGTGTAAGTGTCAAGGGGGCACCGCAAAAATGGTGGCTATAGCACTGAAACTTGAAGCTTGAAACTTTCAATTTCAGGGTATCGTGGAACGGTAGCTGTAGCACTAAAATCAGATCTTATCCAAGTATAAGGAGGTCCAACTTTGTTAGTTTCATTTCATTTTTCATTATCTAGGATACTTGAAAGCTCGATTTTGGAGATAAAGTTGGATCTTCATCTACAAACTTGTGGTAAGTGATTCTAACTTGAATTTGAGTTTATATCATGAATGTATCATTAGATATACCTTAAAATATGAATTGAAGGTATAATCAAGTGAAATTTTAAAGAAACCCTAGAATCACCTAAGTGATAATTTGAGTTAGTAAATGACATCAAGTTTTGATTTTCATTACATATTTGGATTACTTAAGTTATGGGTAAATAGTTTATAAACGCTGGTTTCAATTTTGACCAAGTTGACCAGAACTAATATTCGTATTAATCAAAAGTTGACTTTGAGTTCTAAACTTCCTAAAATTATGGGAATAACTCTATTAGACTAATTTGGACCCGTTATATATGAGTTTGAATGAATTGAAGCCATTGGAGGTTGTTTGAGCAATGTTTGTATTTTAAGTGAAGGTTCAAGTTGAGGTATGCAGATATTCGAGGCAAGTTAGACTTTAACTCTTAGTTTAATTTACTTGTTTTTTGTTAAAAGCATGCTATTTGTGTTGCTTATATAAATTTAATTTAGAAAAAGGTCAAACTACTCTGCTAAATGGTTTAAAAACTATCCTCCATCCATTTATTGGTCCGAAAATACCCCAATCGTTATTTTTATTGCTACGATACTCTTTGATTAAACAGCAAGGGCCTTACGTTTAATAAGTTGTAACATCTTATTGGGCCACGTGACTTCTCACTTTACTTCATACATAAGGGTATAATATACCCACCTCATTATTTGACGCTCCCTTTTTTTCATTACTTTTTTTCTTTCTATTTCTTCCTTATCACCCACTTCAGCCCACTTAACCCCTCCACCTTCTTCTTCCATCCTTGAAACGAAAATCAACAAGAATGGCAGCTTCCTTCAATCCACTCTTCTTCTTCTTCTTCATTATTTTCAGTCCAGTTCTCTCATTTTTCATTGCATAAACCACTGCCCAATCGCCACCATCACTGCTGTAATTCCTCTTATTCAAGTGATAAATTAACAATAATATAACATGTCATAGTAAATATCACGATTATATAAAGCAGTAAAAAAACCATGCAAAAAAAAGGAAAAGATTAAAATATTCAAATTCATAATTAAAATTGTCTTTTTGCTCCAATTGAAAGAATTCAAAAAGTCATACAGCGAAGAAATGAATATGTTTACAATCAATGAGGTATAGTGTTTTGAGCATTATTTCATAATTAGCCAATTTGAATATCAATCAAAATAGATAGAGGTAAAAGGCCTGCATTTACAGTAAAAAAAAAAATCGTGTTTATCCAGGCGAAAGGAATCAAATTCAAACGTTGTCTTTTGGATTCATAAAATCTCTGTGTCCTTCATCGAATCATTGATTTGTCTATTAATCTTAAGGAAAAAAATAAAGGGGGGAGGTTGGTGGATGGAAGTGGGTGTGCTGGGCGATAAGGAAAAATGAGAAAGAAAAAATAAAATAATGGAGCAGGTCAAATAATACGGCGGATATATTATACCCATATGTATGAAGTAAAATTAGGAATCACGTGACCTAATAAAATGTTGTCGATATATTTAGAAGTTGCCCCCACATCTATTATCATTAAATTGACATATAAATAACAATGAGGATATTTTTGGATCAAAAGGTGAAAGAAGGGTAATTCAAATTATTTACCAAAAGATAGAGGTAATGTTGACCTTCTATGGTAAATTTAAATTAGGGGTGTACAAATCAAACCGATAACCCGCACCAACCCGAAAATCCAAGTCAACCCCGAAAAAAAACCCCGACTAATGGTTTGATTTGACTTGGTTTGGTATTGAAAAATAAAACCCGGCCATAATAGGGTTGGTTTGGTATTAACTAAAAAAAGTCAAACCGAAACCAAACCAACCCGATATTATATGTATACATATTTTATATATTAGATAGATAAAAATATTTATTAGAATGTAAGTTATAAATATTTTTTAATTTTTTTTTATAATTTCTGTATTTAGCATAATATTTTAAGTTGGTTTNGAAAAATAAAACCCGACCACAATAGGGTTGGTTTGGTATTAACTAAAAAAAGTCAAACCGAAACCAAACCAACCCGATATTATATGTATACATATTTTATATATTAGATAGATAAAAATATTTATTAGAATGTAAGTTATAAATATTTTTTAATTTTTTTTTATAATTTCTGTATTTAGCATAATATTTTAAGTTGGTTTTATAGCAAATGTAAATGTTTGTTTTTGTCTGGCCCATAAAAGAATAATTGAGCCCAAACCAAAACCTAGTCCTAAAGCAAAACTAGATTAGTCCTAAAGCTGTTCTAAAACATTTAAACAATTGAAATCATTTTGTCTCTTCTCCAAAAGCAAGAAACCCTATCGTTCCATTCCAAAACCCCCCAATTAGCTCAAACCCTATCAACTCTCTTTTGCTCTCATCGGTAAGGTTCTTCCCTTTCTCATTTTACATGTTTTCTTTTAACTGCATACATACGCCTTGCTTTTTCTCAATTAACTAAGATTTTTCTTTTTTCAATTAGCGAGTTTTTTTGCAAATCTGTTGTATTCCTCCCTATTATCGAATTCATTTGTTTATTTTGTTTCTCTTAGATGATTAACATGAATAATTGACTGTTACTTAAAAAGATATTGAAATATTTTTACTTATATTTTGAATCATTTGGTTAAATAATATGGACTATGTAAAATTAAGAGTAATGTATTTCCTACATTATTTCTTACATTGATGTATTTTCAAGGAATATAAGTTTGAAGACATGTTAGAGGAAGTCCAGAAAATTGAGCAAGTTGAAGAAGGTAATAATTTATATTCAATTCTTAATGAGTATAGTTATTTTTTATATTATTTAATATTAAATATGTTAATTATTTATTTTCTTTCGGAATATGCACACTCACCTTTGAGGATTGATTTGAGGGATAGTTAACTACAATTTGCTTCATGATTATTTTTGAAATCTTTAATACTTTAAGGTAATTAATTAAAAGAAAGTTGGTGCATGATTTTTAATCGATTAAGAAGCTTTTGTATTACATTATTTTTTTAAGGTTCAGTTGATTTGACAGTGGGAGAAATTAGACTTTTTACAATACTTAAAAAAATTAATTTGTCCATGACACTCCAACATGCTCTTTCTAATTATTTATCTAAAGTTCAATTGAAGTTGGACATGTCAATTGCTTTAAGCTTTTATTAGCATTTTAGTGTAAAATGAAAAATAATTTATAAAGTAGAGACCTTTATAAAGTGGAACCATACAACCTATTGACTAGCATAGTTGAGGTCAATGTTAAAAAATAAAAACATGGTTGTTATTGGTAAAATTGTATTTAGGACTATAGAAATATTTGGAGCTCAAGTTTATTGGAAAAAAACCCGAAAAATCCGAGAAACCCGAGAAAACCCGATATTGAAAAACCCGACTTTTGTTGGTTTGGTTTGGTCTATAGATTTAAAAATCTGATACAATTAATTTGATTTGATAATTGTAAAATCCGAACCAACCCGACCTATGTACAACATAATTTAAACCATCTAGGTCATATGTGTGGGCTAGCGTGAGCTAGATTAGCTCTTTTTAAAGTATCTTTAGTAGACTTTAACAGTCCTAGCATGTGTGATCATTCTATTTTGTTACTTCCACGAGTTTTCTTGACTTGTTGTGCTACTTGTTTAGTTGTTTGGTATATTTTATCACGCAATCAGCTCTCGATATATATTTCTATCTCTTTATGATATTTTTTTTGACTACTTAGCATGCACTATCACACAATTAGTATTTTATTAAACTCGGGTATGTTGATGCCTTTGAGTTAGAAGCTTCTGTTATCGTGTATGACGTGGGATTGGTGCTCTGTGCAAGGTGGGTTAGACATATAATCCACGTTCCAAAGATGGATTGACATATGTGTGAGTGGACTCTTAGCCCAATAGCAAAGCTCAACAGTTTATCAGCATTAGTAACAACATGTTTACTTCCATTATATGTGTTTTTAATCTGTATAAATTATAATATTATGAAATGGTAAATTTCCTATAACAAAAAACAGAAACAGGAAGAGCAGAAGTAAAGTAGAAATTGAAAATAATCATAAAACATAATATGAAAATATATTTGGAAATAAATCAAGCACACCGAATGCATAGTGTGTCCTTAAGGAAATTATTCTCATCAATTATCCGAGGTATTAATATTATCCTCTCAGGATAGAATGATTTGACTCACTAGAGTATCGGTACCTAAAATGTTGGTGAACTGCTAACCACTCAATGGTTGTAAATCACATTGGATTTTATTTGTGCAGAAGAAGAAGAAGTTAGAAGTTTAGAAAATTTTGTAATGAAAAATTCTGGGATCAAAGCAAATTTATAGCCATTTTCTGGCATTGTTTCTGAAAATTTGCAACCTTTCAGAAATAGCCATGGCTCTTGAAACAGGTGAAAACATTTAAAATTACCCGAGAAAAGAAACGGACGGGTCGCAGGTCGCGCACGGATCCTAGGTTATTTCGGGTTAATGTTTTGATAATTAATTAAATAATTGAAAGAAAATTTGTCCAAAAAATTAATCAATCAATCGATTTGACCAAATCAAAATCAGAAAACGAAATTGAGCCTAGCGAGCGAACGAACGACGACAACGCGAGGCTTACCTTCTTTCCAACCTATTTAACACCAGGAAAAGTTGTTTCTTAATATAAGCACATTTTATTTTCTTTCCACTACCAATGATGGACAATTTCTCTTTTACAAAGCATAAGGGAACAACTCACTTTCCCTTCACATTGCTTCCCTCCATTTCTTATTCACCAACCTCTAATCCTAACAATCCCCCACATGAATGGGGAATGGCTATAAGGCAAAGGAATGAACAGATGAGTGTGTGATTTATAAGCAATGATTAATTGCATTTGAATAAGTAGGTTTTTCTTTAAACTTTCCGCAGCGAACTTATATTGGATATACTCGGTCAATCGGTAGATTTGATATCTTTGAACCATCAAGCTTTGTTGTATACCTAGAAAACATAGGTCGTACGATCAACCTTTAACCATTTATGGTTCTCACGGTTGTGTTCGTTCCAGCCATGAGCATCACCTGGTTTCATGAGTGTTTATAGAATAGGCCTTTACTTTTATTCCCCTTGATGTGTCTTACACTTCATACCTACATAGGTGATTTCTAAACGTGTAGTCTTATATATACACTACCTGGTCATTTCCTCCCAAACGTAGCAAATCATTAAGAAGCTTTAAGCTTTATTGAATCATCAAAAAGCCTTAATGCTTCACCTTGATTTCTGAACATTGTCTTCATCAAGAGAATGGGTTGAGTTATTTGACAATGTTAAACCATCATTCATAATTTTATTTGATCTCTTTGAACTTAGCTCTTGGGATCTCCAGTCTGGTAGGTAGAGTTACCGCCATGATGACTTGTCCTAGGCGTTAACCCCATTCCATTTGATGATTTTTCAACTGCCTCTCTAGATAGGCCTTTTGTAAGTGGATCTGACACGTTATCTCTTGACTTCATGTAGTCAATCTTGATAATACCACTAGAGAGTAGTTGTCTAACGGTAATGTGTCTCCATCGTATGTGACGAGATTTTTTGTTATACATAACGCTCCCTACCCTACCTATTGTGTAACGACCCGACTAGTCATTTTTAGATCTAGCGCATCGTTCAGCGGTTTGAGTCCTTGAGTAGTTTTACTTTATTTATTATGACATGTATGCGTAGTCAAAATTAAATTTCGCGAAGTTCAGAGTTGAATTGGATGGAAAATTCTACATTTCTGAAGCTTTAAGTTGGAAGAATTGACTAAGGTTTGACTTTTGAGTAAACGACCTTGGAACTGGGATTTGAAGGTTCCAATAGGTTCGTATGATGATTTCGGACTTGGTCTTATCTTCGGGTTAAGTATCGGGTCACCCAGGAGCATTTCAGCGCTTATTGTGGAAAGTTGCTATTTTGAAAGTTTAAGAATTTTTTAACTTTGATTTAAAGTGCACTTTGGTGCTATCAATGTCCGTTTGGGATTCTGATCCTTGGAATAGGTTTGTATCGTGATTTGTGACTTGCACGTAAAGTTTGGCATCATTTCGGGATGTTTAAGTGTAAATCGGATGCGTTCGGCGAAGTTTGAAGGTTAGGAAGTTGAAAGAAAGGTTATGGCCGTCGATTCATAATTTTTGATGTTGTTTGACATGATTTGAGGCTTTGACTAAGTTCGTATCATGTTTTAAGATGTGTTAGTGTGCTTGGATGGGGTCCCGGAGGCCTCGGGGGTGATTCGGATTGGAAAACGGAGCAAGTTTGGACTTGGAAGAAGTGTTGAGGCAGCTGAGATCCGGTGAAAACGTACATGTGTGGGAAGTGGCCACAGGTTCAGTCATGCAGGTGCATAGGGCCATCACAGATGCGATTTTGGTGGAAGGAACCTAGGGGCGCAAGTGCGAGGAAATATTCTTCACCAGGGAAGTAGTAGATGCGGAGAAGTGATCGCATAAGCGACTTAGCCAAGCTGGGCATGTGGTCGCAGAAGCGAAGAGGAGCAGCGCACCTGCATATGCGCAAAAGCGACGCCACTGCCGCATGTTCGGGGAAATACGCAGATGCGCGAGGCAGCGTCGCACCTGCGATTGCGTAGGAGTGGAAGAGTTTCCGCATGTGTGATGGGCTACTGGCAGTGAACTTCCGCAGGATTGAGATGTTTCTCGCATAAGCGAGCTCGCAGGTAAATGCGTCCGCATATACGATGATCGCTGGGTAGAAGGCCTTGTTAAGTATGTGGATTTGACTCATTTTATTTTCTTTTCTTCTATGGGAGCTGGCCTTGGAGTAATTTTGGAGCGCCATTTTCATCGTCACTCATGAGGTAAGTAATTTCTAAAAGTTGTGAGTTAAATATACGGATTTGGGCTTGTAAATACATGAAAATTTTTGTTATTTGTGGGATTTCAAGAGAAAACCTAGAAATTGGTATTTTGGATTTTAACCATGATTTTGGAAATGGAATTAGGAGTAAATCATATATTTGAGTTCATGAGGTCATGGGTAAAGTTTATCTTCAACAATTTCTGGAATCCGGATACGTGGGCCCGAAGGTTGACTTTATTGACTTCTCGAGCGGAGTTGGGAATTATTATGAATTGATTAATTATAAGAATTGGGGTGTAATTTTGATTGATTTGCACATTATTTGGATAGTTTTGGACCAATGGATATTGGTTTGAGGAGTTAGAAAGGCGTTGGAGCCGGTTATGGAACTTCAGAGCGAGGTAAGTCTCATGTCTAACTCTGTGAGGGGGAATTTAGCCCGTAGGTGTTATATTCTAATGTGCTACATGTTGTGGGAGCTACGCATGTATGAGGTGACGGGTATCCGTGCGTATGCTAGAATTCCCGATTATGTCCTAGTAGACTTAGGTGCACGCCATATTATAATTGTACTATTTGAGTTATCTTTGCTCGTTTAATTCCTTTATTTCGCGTTGCGACTTGATACTAGACTTGCATAGGGTGATTAGACTTGCTATTATAGACATGTGACGAGCTACTTGATAATCCGCGGAATAATTTGTGTTTTCCCTTATGAAATTCTCGCGCGTTGTGCGTTTTCATTGAAAAGCTTCTTTACATTTCATAACTCACACGTATCTTCGTGAGTGGGGTCAAGGACCCATTAAAGTATCATATTCTTATGGGAGCTGGCCATTCGCCTCGGCAGTATAACAGATGCATCTATGGTTCATGTCGTTCGACTCTCGGCAGTGCACACATTATTATGGGATCGGGCAGTACACCTCGACATTTCTATAAATACTCTTATAGGATTGACTGTTTGCCTTGGCAATGTCGTGCAGAATATTTGGCAAAAATCCATCGTATCCGTGAGTTCTCCTGATTTGAGTTGTGACGATCTATCTGGTGGAGACCATTTTCCACATATACTCCGGTTAAGGAGGTGAACGATAATTGAGGGCTTGCGTTTACTGTTCAGAGGAGGATCGTACCACGTGCTTAAATTTGTTTACACTGTTTTTACCATGCCTCATTTTTGTTTACTTTCGGTTGTACTGGATTTATTGAACCACTAGTAAGTGTCGATGTCGATCCCTCGTCACTACTTCTCCGGGGTTAGGCTAGATACTTACTGGGTACGCGTTGATTTACGTACTCATGCTACACGTGTTGTACCTTTTGTGCAGGTATATATATATCCCCGGTGGTGTTTTTGGGCGCAGAGGCGAGGCTATTGTGGGAACTTTATAGTGAGCTGCATTCCATGTTACGATCTGTAACATACAGAGTCTCCATCAAAGTTACTTACATTCTCCTGTCTAACATGTATGCTAGACAGATGTTGTATTTTATTATATTTCTTGGTAAATTCTCATACACCTGTGACACCGGGCATATAGGGTTCCTACTCGATGTTCATTATTGTAGTTCGTGTAATTATTACCATTTCATCTTATAATATATATTTTATACGGAGATTGGTAAATAAAATCAAGGGTTTTTCTACGAGTACTAGGTTTTACTCTACTTATTTAAGGGGATTCATGATTTCGAAAATAATAAAATGAGTAACTAAGTTGATTAATCACTATTGGCTTGCCTGACGGCAGCGTTAGGTGCCATCATGACCTATAGTGGATTTTGGGCCGTGACAGCTTGGTATCAGAGCTCTAGGTTCATATGGGTCTCACGAATAAGGGTGGCATGTGGGTCGGGCTCTAGGTTCTAATTTTTAAATTCTTTTATGCAAGTTAGAGAAAATAAATGGTAATAAAAATATCTAAGGTAATTTGTAAATTATATTATAGAATTGTCACCTATATATATATATAGAGAGAGAGAGAGAGTAAGATGTATATATAGTATAGTATAGTATAATATAGTATAGTATAGTATATACTATATTATACTATATATACAGCTTAAGATATATAAAAAGACAAAAATATTTTAAAGAGATATTCAAAGCAATGCGTTAGAATTTTATTATAGCATTAAAAAATTATAGCAATATCTTTCTTAGTCTTCCTCCCCCCTATGGAATGAGCACAACAAGGTGCTAATA